AAAATCAATTTGGGGAAAAAACTTTTTAGAGTTCTTAGTTCGAAAATCGAACTGGGGAATCGATAGAGACAAAGAGAGCGACATCATTTCATCATCGATAAAGGTTAGTTCTGGTTCTATAATATGTTATAGTTTTTTCTCATTGTCGTGGAAATTTTTTTCTGGGTAATTTTCATGAGCAGTTGATTTCGATAGTCCTAAGCTCATTGTAGGTGATTTCGTGGACAGTAACAATGAGCTCTTCTTCGTCTACTTCATCTGGATTGACAAACCGAAAGTCAGTGATGGGTGTTCCATCAAGCTGTTGGTGTGGGAGGAACATAATCACATATGTTTCTCAGACAAAGGAGAACCCTTTTCGTAGATTCTACAGGTGTGAAGTCGCCTTGCAAGTATTCTCCAATCGATACTGAAGTTACATATATGACAGAACTTATCTTCATTTGATTAAATTTGTGTTGTTTGTGTAGGGGAGAATGGAGCAACATCTTTTCAAATGGATTGATGAAGCTTTGTTGGAAGAAACAAGAATGGTTGAGGTGAAGCATATGAAGCTTGTAGAAGAGGTGAAACAATTGAAAAAGGAGTTAGTGGACAAATTGGAGCTTCAAAACGAAATGCGCCTAAATATGGAAGAAGAGATGAAAGAAAAGATAGATGAGAAGATGAAGGAAGTGATTGTTCCGATTGCTAATGCAACTATGCAGAAGTGTATGAAGAAAGTAATAATCACAATGTTGGTTGTAGGAACAACAGGATGGATTTGTGGGAAGATTGTTATGAAATAGTTTTAGCTTAATTCTGAAACCTTGAATTCATGTTTGGAAGTTTGTTATGTTATATGTTTGTAATCATTGACAGTATTTGCAATGACTAGCTATGTGTGTTTCGGTTTCTTAGTTACTGTGTTGAGTTTTTAGTTTGATCTTTATGGCCCCTAAATCATTGTAAGAGCAAAATAACTTCATTGTGATCAATAAATCTGGATTGAAAGACAAAGATAAATCTAATTTGAGTGAAATCACCAAAATGTAACATTGAAAGATAAAAAAAACACCAAAATGTAGTTGAAAGACAAAGACAAATCTTGTTTGAGTGAAATCACGACAATGTAACATTCAATACAAAAACACCAAAAAAACATCCAACTTCGGCTCCACTTTCACTCTGTGATTTGAGATGGTTGAGTGAGTGAAATCGTATCAGGGACTTGGTATATAACTAAAGCTCCAACTTCGGCTCTTTGAGATGAGGTAGTGCCCTGAAATGGAAAAGAAACAGAGCAATCGTCAAAGACAAGTAAAACCAAACCGATATGCAACTTTTAATTACAAAAGACCTGCAACTTCAACACAATTAAAACCGACTAAATAAGCAAATCTGCAACAAAACCTGCAACTTCAACACATTCAGACTTTGCGTCTAAGCAAGACTAAAACCTGAACTTCAAATAGAATTAAAGCAAGACTAAGCAAGACTAAATAAGCAAACCTACAACAAAACCTGCAACTTCAACACATTTAAAGCCGAAACCAAACCTGCGACTAAGCAAGACTAAATAACCTGAACTTGAACACCTACGACTAAATAACCTGAAAAAACATTAACTTCAAACATAATTAACCAAAAAAAGTGCACGTAAAACACAACTAAAATCATACCTGTTCACTTGTCTGTTCACTTGTTTCTTCTGTCCTCTGCTTCTTCTTTGGATGTATCTTACATCCAGCAGCATTATATCCAGGTTCACCACAGCTTGAGCAGTGTATGGTGCGTCCAGTCTTTGGATATTTTTCAACCTGCTTCTTCTTCTTCTTCTTCTTCTTCTTTGGCGATTCAAACTTTCCTTTTATTCTTGGTTGTTTCTTCTTTTTCTTTCTTCCAGGAAGATCAGGTTCTGGGGGAGCCATTACCAACCTAAAAGATCCATCCATCCAGAACCGTGGTCCTCTCATAGGCTTGATATTATCATTGTAGCAATCCCGCCACATATTCGTTGAGAACCAATCGCTGACATAATTGTCAGTATCCAAACCTGCATCTATCATTGCTCCATAAGCATGCTCACATGGTATTCCTCTGATTTGCCACTTACAACAAGAGCACGTCTTCTTTGCAGTGTTGACACTATAATTATTCCCAAACAGCTCCACCTCATATCGTCCATGTGCACCGTGAGTTGTAATACATTTATCAGCATTCTTCTTCTCCTCAGCAAGAACCATTTTAACATGTTCCGAACATCTACCATCCCACTTTGAAGATTTCTTGCTTCTCTTTGAAATCCGAGTCATTGCGAGCCTCCTAATAGTCTCAAGCATAGGTATCAGAGCCTTACCTCTTGCCTTTGTAATGGTGGAATTGAAGAATTCAGTTGAGTTGTTATCCACGTTATCGCAGAAGCTCCCAAGCTTGTAAAACGCCAAACACCAAGTATGTGGCTCCTCTGTCATCACGTCATTAAACAAAGCTGTATCATACTCTTTCAGATTCTTCATATTCTCTTGATATTCAGTCACACTATAGCTCCGAGCAACATTCTACACCAGCAACTTTAGCAATTCTTTCTTTGCATGGTTCTTCTTCAGGTTCTCAACAATGTGTTTCACACACTATCTATGTTCGGCATTTGGTAACTCAGCTTTAACTGCAGCAATTAATCCCTGTAAAAATGATATAGAGGTCAATGTTCAACAATCGTGAAGTTACAAAATGAAAGTAGTCTGAATTCTAAATGTCTCAATCGTGAAAAAGTAGTTACTTACTTTTGATCTGTCTGAAATCATCACATAACCACTGCCATCTCTAAGCCCTAAATCAACCTTCAATTGCTTGATAAACCATAACCAGTTGTCTGAATTCTCAGCTTGTACCACAGCCCAAGCAACCGGATAGATCTGATTATTAGCATCATGACCAACAGCAGTAAGCAAACACCCTTTAACAATGACCTTTAAGAAAGTTCCATCAAGCCCAATGATTGGTCGACAAGAACTTTTCCATCTGTTTCTAAGGTTTTCAAAACAAACATAAAACCGACTAAACACATCCACTTTATTTGCATTAGGATATGTTTCAACAATAGCAGTTGATCGCTTGTTCCTCTTGAGTATCTCTTCGACATAGCCGCGAATATGGACAAACTGTACCTCATACTCTCTCTCAAGCCATTTCAAAGCTAGCAACCTTCCTCTCTGGACTTGATTCCTTGTGCTCACCAATCTCCAATTCTCTTTGATAAGCCATTGAATGTCTTCAGGCATTAAATCAGGATTTTGCCTTAGTTTGTCCAAAAAAAGATGTGCAATGATAGGACCCTTAAGAAGCTTGCATTTTCCATTTGGCGTACAGCTGTGACATCCGTACTTAGTCTTCAAAATCCATTTCTGGCTCGTCTTGTCATACGAACAATATAGCCGCCATTTGCACTTTGTATCTATGCCACATCTATACCCAATTTTTGTCTTATCCCAATGATCTTGTCGAATGTTCTTTGCTTTGTTCAAAGCATACTCCAGAACAGTTTCCTTAAACTCATAGCCTGTATTGAAAGTAGTTCCCACAGCTAATTTATCAGCCTTTTTCCTTCTCATTCTTCTATTTCTCAAAGCAATCTCATCCTCTTCTTCACTATCTGAACTCTCTGGAATTGTCATTCTCACTATTTCCTCATCAACAAAGTTCTCTACAGCATCCTCAATCTCATCTTCGTATCGTTCAGCTATATCCTCTTCTTCTTCTAAAATCTTATCTTTCTTACTCTTCGGATTTGCTTCCTCATTCTCGCTTTCATTTGCTTCCATTTCTTCATATTCTGCATCATCTTTCTCAGTTTCCTTCTCGCTTTCATGTCCATCAGGCGGCTCTGCATCATGCTTTTCATTTTTCTTCTCGCTTTCATGTCTATAAGGCAGCTCTGCATCATGCTTTTCGTTTTCCTTCTCAGCTTGTTGAATGAAAATATCAACCAAACCTCTTAAGCTAGCTTCAGCACACATTCGCCTAATATCTTCATCTGAGCTGAGCATAACTATAGGCTTTATGGAATTCATATCTTCTTGTGGGAGCTTATACCAAACATATTCCACATAACCGCCACCTAATGAATGTTGTTCACAAAAGCCATCGAAAACACTCCATGTCATCAAATCCGGATCAACTATTATGTCCCGCTTCAAAGTTCCACCAATGTAAACTTTCGTATCGCTAATCTCCATAACTCCGCCATAATATAAATTCACTTTGATAGTGTCAAATACGCTGCAAAAAAGATGAAGCATTGTAGTAAAAAACGAAGCATTGTAAGCTGTACGAAAATTGCAGCAATGTACCTTAATAAAATCACACATAAATTCTATGCAAATGCCTCATATTTTCCAGAAGACAACCACCCAGAATATGAACACCAGTGATGAACCTTTAACCCATCTTTCTTCGATGCCTTTCTCAGTTAACAGATTGACAAACCTAAATTCGATATTCCCCAATTCGATTTTCGGACTAAGAACCCTAAAAAGTTTTTTTCCCCAAATTGATTTTACGGGTTTGATCGAGAGAGAGAGAGAGAATAAGAGAACTAAAAATACTCGGGTCGGGTTTAGATTCACGGATCTGGTTTGGTGTTAAGTCGTCGGGTCAGAGTAGTTGATTTGGGTAACCATTGTTTTCAAAACGCGATTTAAGGTTTTAATCGTGATTTTATGATTCTAATTAGATATGGGGGAATAGGCACAATTATAATAATTTAGAGAGAATTATACAGAGGTAAATATTATAGGTGGATTTAGGCAGAAATTGTATAGTTTAGGGGGTTTCTGGCAGCCAATCCAAAAAGATTAGAAGTTTGCTTCAGAGTTCAGAGTGATGTCCATCTGTGGGACCCACAATTCCCAGATTATACTTATATACGCTGTCCGATCAAACATCATCCAACGATGACCATAATCGGGTACAGTTTCAATTCATGCGCACGACCGTAGAGGAATATTGGAACCTTCTCATCACAGTGATAATCTGCTGCAGTCGGCTTTACTAAAACCCACTCTCCTGTTGGTCACATCAAACTCAACCCATAGATTCTGCTGATGAACGTTCCCGATTATGTTACTTGCTGCACCAAGCATGCTCGACCGTCCGACCCCAACACAGTGGATCCCACCTCCTACGTTAACAAGAATCCTTTGTTTTTCAACGAGAATCTCAACACCTCTCCCGAATTCAAACACGAGGTCGCCTATCAACCGTCCGATGTCCACAGGATTGTTCCCATCGAAACACATGTCAGCTGTTGCGCCGTACACGTAACCCTTCTTCAATCTAGGCCCCACAAGCTTCACTATTTCTTCCCTCACTTTATTATAGGCCACGTCGACCAAGTGAGTAAATTCAGAACCCGAATCTACCATGGTCTGACCTGACCCGCCTGCGTCGGGTCTAAAAACAGAGGCTGGGATGTTTAATCTTGTTGGTCCGATTCGTATCCCTTGCAAAGGTACTGTGTAAGCCAGAGGGTCTAGATTCGGCATGCGTTGACTCTGAGGAACAGTCAAAAGAGGAACGTATTTGAATCCGCGAGAACTCGGGTTTTCCCCGAGGTAAAAAGACCCAGTAGGTATAAAACCGGGCCGGTTGGATCGGTTCGGGATACAGTAAGAGAATTTGGATATTTTAGCTTGCGAGACGAAAGAAAGACGACCAAGATTCATTCCCAGAATACCCTTGTCGTCAGTAGACTCAGCAGCGCAACCTAGAATCAAAGGAGGGGTAATTTGAGTATTTGACAAGGTGAATTTTTCTTTGACGAGATTGCCCTCAGCATAAGTCCCGTCTGCGTAGAAGTAAGAGTAGTGACAGAGACGGTTCGCGTCGCAAGTCGTGGGGAGGGTAAAATCGGGAATTCGTGGTTTGCAGAGAGGATGAGAGCAAGGCAAATCCGAGAACGATGAAGACAACGACGGATCAAATGACGCCGTAGGAGGAGGAGGTTTCTTCTTCTTGCGATGGCACTGGATCCATGAGAGTTGACTTCCAGTGTCGAGAACAAGCTCTTGAGTCTGAATCGGTGTTCCGATCGGAAGAGAAAGAGTCAGAGCCATTGAGTATTTGAAATTTGATCGAAAATTGTACGGATGAGACGACGGCGGAGATTGATTCCGGCGAGAGACGAGGGTCGTTTGGAGGAAGGAAGAAGATGAGTTAGTGGTTGGAGTGAGACGGAGAGATGTGAGAGGAAAATGGAGAGATAGAGAGTATGTGAGAGAAATTGAGTTACAGAGTGAAACATAGAGAATTGTTAAGAAGAGAGACATTTTTCAAAACACAGTGAGAGTGAGTGAGGAGAGAGAGAGATGATGATGAAAGAGTGTGTTAATGTTATATATATATACACACGCGCGCACGGATATTAAAGAAAAATATTGAGGGAGATTGTGCAACTAATAAAAAGTGGTTAGGTTGTATTGTTATACTATAATTTAGTTTTGTTTGTTTTTGTAATATTCTATATATTTGTTTTTGTAATATCGTATATATGATTTTAATATAGTCCTAATGTCGGTTGGCGCTGTATGTGATGGATAAGGCTACTAAATATAACTAAATTTGTGTATTTTATATTTTAATTTTATTAGTGATTAGTGATGCCAATTAAGAGGTTTCAGCTCAACGACCTAGGTTTTTTAAATTTACACTCAACGACTATCTTCTTATTCGGAATATTGGATTATTTAAACTATGACATTTCACATATTGATATCTTTCTAGTTTGGTAAATCTATAATATATAAGTTTAAAATTAGATAATATAATATAATTAAATTTATATAAATTTTATATAATATTATATTATAACATTGATAATATAGTTTTATTTTTATTTTTTAATAAAATATAAGTAATTTAATCGTAATATAAATTAATTTAAAAATTAAGTAGCATGCATAGCACATGATATAGTTGGATAGAAATACAAAGTTACCATACAAATTTTCTATATTCCGTGATTGATAATATGATTCATTATTTTCACCAATATCCAAAATTTGGGTATACAATATTTATATATATATATATATATATTTAATTACTTTTAACCCTTAAATAATTAAATAGTTTGTTACTTATCTATTAAATATTATTAGTTAAATAAATTAATAAATTTTTGTAATTCTAAATTTGACTTGTTCAAAATATGATACAAATCAATAAGATAATATTTTTTTAGAAAAATCTATATAAATATATAGTTTCATTCATATCATAAATTAATAATTACCATAAAATAATTTTATATAAATATATAACTATCATAATTTACTAAAATATGAATATATAATGGCTTGTTTTTCTTAAAATTGAAATAATATTATAGTTTATCTACAATTTAAAAGTGAAATATTTAAAGATATCATTAACATTTAAAATAAAGATAATTTTTAATTAATTATCAATAAATAATTTATTTAGTTCCAAACCAATAAATTTATAATTATATAAATTAATAAAATATTGAAATCACAATATTATCAATTTATGGAATTTTTACAGTAATTAAATTGATTGATTTAAAACAGACAAACTAAAAAAAAAAAACATGTATACATGTTGCTGAAAATTTGATACTATATATGTTAAATCAAAAATTAATTTAAAAAATAAATAATTAATATTGGTATTAACATGTTATGATCTCTTACCAAAAAAAGTATGCACTAATGCTATATATACCATATTTGTCATCTAAGAATCATATATAAATTAAATTATAATGCAATATATCATATTTCCTTGTATAGTAAATTTAAATATTAAATAATATATATCATAATAATTTTAGAAATTCATCATTTTCTTTTTAATTGATGTTTGTGACGAAAATAACATATATTTTTAATAATATATTTTTGTATATATTATTATGATTTGTTAAAAGACATACACTTAAAAATATTTAGCTTGAAGTATTATATATATTTTCACAATTATTTTCATGCATGCTATAATTACAACAATATGTGAATAAAATTATTATGACTTTTTTTTTATTTATTCTGATTAATTTTTAAGAAAAATAAAATATTATTTTTAATTATTCTGTTGCATTTATAAAAATATTTTCAATAAACAATTAATAAACATATTTTCTAATAAAAGTAGTAAATATTAGTAAAGTGTTATATATTTTGTTATGAATTTGAGAAAAATAAATTATTATTTTTTAAATTTTCAGTTGTTTTTATAAGAATATTTTTATTATAAATAATCAATAAACATATTTTTTAAAAAAGTAGAAAGCATTAAAAAGTATTATATATTTTACTATGAATGATAAAAATAGTAAACATTAAAAAATATTATATATTTATATTATGAATTTATAATAAAATATATATAGATAATATTTATAAAATATTATATAATAAATTTCGTGTATATTATATTTGCATTAAACAAAATTTATTTAATAAAATTATTAATTCTAATATTATTGCCTTTGAATTCATTTTAAAAAATAAAATAAAATATATTTATGGACCTAAAATATACAATGGCATATCATGTAATTAATCTAGTAATCTAAGTCTTTTTTTTTTAAAATAGCTGAGAATGAATGTGGGGTTGACACATCAGCAAAATGGCACCATTGTAATATTCTACAAATTTAAGGTTTCTCTTTAAAAATGCTTCTCTTTTAATATATAAGAGATTATTTTAATACAACCAGAATTAGATTAATTAATTATTTATCTTTTAATTACATACTAATTAAAATTATATATATTTTATAAATACATAACATAATTTACATTTTTTGGTGATAAAATATTTATCACATACATAGTTATTATCGACAAAATATATACATATGTATTATATATTTATTCAAATACACAATATTTTTAGAGAAAATTCATATATAATAAATTATCATTAAAATTTTAAATTTCTTATTAAATAATAAAATATGTAATAATTGATTCGTACTTTTTTTATTATAGTCAAAATATGTAATAATATATTTCTGTAATTATGACATATTTGTAAACTAGAGTCAAGAGAGATTATATCATCAGGTTAAAATAATCGGACGACTAGAAATCAAAACCAAAAAATATTATCATTGTTCATAAAAAAATGTATATAATAAAATAAATTATAACTAAACTTTTTAGCAAATTATATTTTAAAACAAAAATCCACGCATCACGCAGATACTCATCTAGTGCATTTAATTCATACACAATATCATTGTACGTTTCATTGAATTCTTTTAGGGTGTTTTAATTAGAAAAAAAAAACATGGTGCGGGATGCAGCTTGAAGGAGTATGTGCCCCACACTGATTTAATTTTTGTTTTAACTAATTATTATGAAGTATTGTGGCTCATATAGTGTGCCACATACCAAAATACAGCCTAGTGCGGTTGAAGTCCTTTTTGTGTATTGTCAAGAGAATAAGTTTGAAACTTTGACTAGTAAAAGAAAAGAATAAATAGTTTGACAAAAAATGCTCTTAATATTTATAAAAAAAAATTCACCAAACCTTATGTTTGGTAATTAAGAGATAACTGTATAAAACCCCTGGTTAATCTTTCCAATATTTTTAACATGTATCTAGTTTTCAAAGCATTCCTTTCAAACTCATTACGAATAATTAATCCAAACTGATATAAGTAATGCTTGAGTGACTTTTTGTTGCTTTTTTCACGTAAGTTCGATATACAATTATACAAAATAATATATAGTCGTTGATGTATAAGAATAAGAAAAAACGACCAAGGAAAAAGCAGTTGACACGTAGTCAAAGGCGTTAAAGGGAAGACGACAGGTGATACTGAGGGCGAAGTAATAAAGCGAAATTACCCAACGCGTTTTCTCTTCATTTCAGACAAAGGTCTTCGTTTTTAGACTTGGTGAGATTTGTATTTTAATAAATTTTGTTATTTAATTTGGTTCATACTATTCAAAAGTCAATTTACATGTAGATTGTACACAACTTTCACGTGATTTTATGGAGCGTCCTACGTACGTACACCTTGGCTTAAAAAAACCAATACTTTTTTTTGAACATTAAAAAGAAAAAGCCAAGACTTTGATTAGTAGATCTGATATTTTGTAAAGAAAAGTATTAAGAAAACCGATAATAGTTATATAGTTATTCATGTTATACAATAATAATCAAAATAAGAACAAACACCATTAAAATAAAACAGAAAGATTATATTATTACTTAAGAAGCAAGTTGGACTGTGATTTAGAATTATTATAATTAATTATTTTTTGTTCTTGATATAAATTAATTTCAAATATCCTTAATGAAAATTATAAATATTATCCTTAATAAAAATCATATTATTAATTAAAAAGTAAGTTGGACTGTGATTGACAGTTATCATGGTTAATTATCTTTTATTTTTCATATAAATTAATTTCAATTACCCTTAATAAAAGTTATATCCTTAATAAAAATAGAATTAAGTTAAAGTAAACAAATAAACTATACCATACGTCGATCATAAAGAAAATCATTATATTATTAATTGATTTCAAATTAATTTTTGATAAACTATTTACTAACCCTTACCCTTATTTGACTAACTATCTCCGCACACTTAACCTAATTAGTTTCCGCTAGCTCTAACTACAGTTTCTAATTTTCAGTCATTCAACATTATAAATACTTTTATTTAACATAAACTCAAAAACATTAACACAAGAATCACCTACCTAAAGTCTTTAGGTTAGGCATAATGTTTTTAAATCATTTTCTTTGTTCTTTTGTTATAGTTAGATTATTATATGCAAGGGACCTCATTATAATTAAACGATATATCATGTTTATCAATATTTCAGTTATAGATATAAAAAATAATGTAGATATTGTATAAATTTTAGAATTGATTATAGAACATTAACATCTTAATATATAGAAAATTCCCATACAAAATTTACAATAGTTATTTTAATATATGTTACACCGTGCGGTTGTATCTATGGTTTATGTTGTAATGGTAACTTATGCATCAAGCTAATCGAAAAATGTATTTGGGCATCAATGTAAGAAATAATTATTTCTCCTATAATGTGGTCTTTTAAGTCATCAGTTTTCTAATGGATTAATGCTATATCATTAGTATTTATTGACCCATTTAATTTGGAAATCATGAAGTTAATTCCTAAAAGATTTCTACTTTGATGGATGGTTGAGATCAATCCTAAGGAAAAACTAATGGGGAATTTGGGTCCTCTCTCCACCTATAAATAGATGCATTTGCTCCATTGAAAAGTCATCATCAAGTATTGCAACACAA